ACAGATATAGATATATATATATATATATATATATATATATATATATATATATATATATAACCTGATTAAACATATTCCACTTTTGATGTTATTTGCAGTTTCTCTTTGAAAATTTCAGCCTGTCATCGTCAAAGGGAGAAAGTAGCAGTGAGGATGAGCTGCTCCTGATGGATGATGAAGGGTGGGTTTTCAGATGCCTCAATTTCTTCTGTCCATTCACATAACATAAAGATTGACACATCACTGATGCAGGCTTTTAGTCAATTGGAGCAAGAAAGCTTTGGGTAGAAGATCACACAGAGAGTAGTTGCACTTGCTCCAAGTTACTTTCAGTATGTTTTAGATAATTGTAATGCACATCTTACTGTCCTCCCATTATTATTATTATTGTTTTAACAATATTTGTTTTAACAATTAAAATTCATTTTCATCATTAGTCTCATTATCATTTATGTAGTTGTAGTTCTTTGTTAAATTATTATGATGATGATGATGAATTATATTTCCCCTTTTGTCTAATAGAAAAATATTTTTTTCAATTGATTTCAGCGTAAAAGATGACAGGAACAAGGACTCTATAGCACAGCCTCTCTACTTGTTGATAGGGGAGATATTTGAGCTGAGTGGGGTGTTCAAATGGTTGAGGAAAAGTTTAATGGTGTTTGTGCAGGCCACATCTGGAAGGACAATTAACAGGTTGGTTGTAGGTAATAATACCTGGGAGGTCACTTCAGAAAAGAAATTAAACAGGTTGGTTATAAAGTATATTTTGATAATCATATCAGTTAACAAGACAGTACAGGTCACATTCTCAGTGGTTCAGTAGGTAATCACAGGTAACATCAGACAGATCATTTAACAGTTTTGTGAAGGTCAACATCTTTATGTAGGTGTAGGTGGCAATACATCTATTCTTAAGGTTTGTGATCAGGTAGGTGCAGCTCACATCTATCAGGTCACATCTCTCAATTGTGACACAGGTTTAGGTTACATGTAGTTAGTCAATTGCCTGGTACGTGTAGGTCGTCTTATTATCATCAATGAAATGAATACATTTAGGTGATCATTGCTAATTTTTGTTGGTTAGATTCCAGATAGTGTATTTATGTTCATTTATATTTATTAGAGATTAAAGAACTTATGTATTTTTATTTAGCTGCAGTGATGTGATTGTTGGCTGGGATTCATGTTTAATTTAATGTATTTATTTCTTACTTTAGACAGTTACGAGAAACAGTGGACTGGATCTTCTCTGAGCCTATGATCATTTACTACATTCAACTGTTTTGCAACTCATTTTGGCCAGGAGGACACCTGGCGCCTCCTACACCTCCCAGGAGTGACGAGGAGAAAATGAGAACCAGAATGGCAGCAAAAAATAAGTTTTTGGACAGCATACCTGGTGAGACTTTGGTTATATGCATTTTCAATTCAGTGTAAATGTTATCGTGTTTTGGTCACATATTTCTGAAAAATTAAATTCTGATGCATGGTTAATGGGGTTTCAAATTAAATAAATGTTTTTATTATTATTTTCTTTAAATAAGAGTTCATCATAAATTTGAAGATATCAGTATTGTTATTTGCCTTGTTTTAGATGCTATGAAGAACTTATTTGGTGAGAAAAACTCAAGAAAGGGTGCCATCAAAATATTTGAAGTTTTTCAAGATGGCAGACTGAACAAACATCTATTTTATGTAAGAAGTTTTTATTCATTATCAAATAGCATTTTTCCTAAAATATATATTTTACATACATTTAAGATAATTTTGTGAAAACCCTTCGTGAAGAAAGGAGTATTTTCTGTTTTTAAAAATCAGACAATGAAAGCAGTTTGTATATTAAGTCTAGCACTCACAATATCCCTATAAAAGTTCCATACATAACAGAGTTGGGCTTTTTTCCAGGTGCTTCTTGAATTGGTGCTACTGGAAGTTCTCCCTGAGGTGAAGAGCAAAATGGAGGAGCTAACAGCTGAAAGACAGGTGCCCTTTGCAGTTAGTAGCCTCAATGCTCCACCCCCAAGTCGCTCACAGAGTCCAGAGACTGTCCAGTTTGATGACCAGGACGCTGATTCCACTGACCAGGCAACAAGGGGACAAAAACAACCACTCCCACAAGTGGAGGTCATGTTCCATTTGTAGCCTATGTGATGTCCAGTGAAGACTCTGGGATACAATTTATGCCAATTTTGATAAGGCATTCCAAAAAAGAGTTATGAAAGAAATTCTTAAAAATCATTCCCGACCAAAGAAAATTACGTGGAAGTGAATTCATGATCATGGCACTATAAGTTTGATGTTAAGTGATAATCATCAATGTTGATTATTCAGAGAACTTTCCACAAAAATTTATGATCTCTCAAGGAATCTAAGTATCTGTTTAAAGCCAGAACGCCTAACCTTCAACTGGCATCGACATTTGTAACATTATAGCAGCAAGAAAGTACAATGTACACTGTATGCCCAACTGTGATAGACTAGGCTGTACACTTTTATGTGCAATATAAAATATTTGACAGAATATAACTTCAGAAATGTATAATATAAAATTCTAAATAAAAAACAGTGACTAAATAAATTGAATAAAATAAATCAACTTTCTGTTGTTTATTAATTTTAGTGCCAAAATCAGTACTTGTATGTGCTATCACGGAAATTGAAAAATGCGTAGCTAAATTTATCGAAAACATAATCGAAGCTGACTTATTGTGTTTGGTGGAAAAAATATCAATCTGATCTTTAGCATCTCAGCAATGCCGTACGAAGACGATATTCCGAAATTTCTGGAAATTATTCAAACATTTTTCTAAAAACGTATCATTGGTCCGAAGCTTCGCCACTCCGAATTTTCTTCGCTCCGAACTCCGCAGTTCTATTAATCTGTTGGTAAAAAGGCCGGTAGAAAGACCAATACCCCTAACTGTTTTTACTATTTTTCATTATATCAAATGTTTTTTTTCTGCCTCAAAAGCTAATGTGGTTCATATGCATGAAGGCCAGAGGTTTTGGCCAGCACTACCTACTCTTTTCAATCCCGCTCAATGTGATCTTACGGAATCCACCCCACCCTACCCACACACTCACAGTATATACTCAAAATTTGCCATACGCAACCTTGCGCACCTGAGAAACGGCTGTTTATTGATTTTGAAAAAAATTGGAAGATGAAATATCGCCGGTTGCTGTATGTTGCTTTTCCTTCTTGGTAAAGCAAAATCACCAAAGAGGCCTAGACTAACTTGCAATGGAATTTACATTAAAAAAATAGAGCTTCAAACGCGGCAATACACGAGAGGGAGGGAGGGAGAATCTAGACCCTATGACTTTGATTTAATAAATTTAAGATGCAATATTGGAGTAAAAATAGTCATATAGGCCTACTGTTTTTTTATTGAATAAAAATTTTGAATAGCGGACCTTTTAAGTAAAAGTCTTGTTTTACTGGTTGTTCAGATTAAAGTACTTTCGAAGTAAAAAGAATACGCACCCCTTCCTCATCGCTTTATTTTTATTTTATTTATTAACAATATTGCCTCGATCTTTTGCCTCATTTATCCAGAAGTTTGTTTGCTGACACAAAACAGACTAGAATCCATCGATATTATGAACTGTCTCTAGTAATTTGTGAAGGTTCAACTTTTCCTTTTTTTAACCGGGTTGTTTAATTTTACAGACCAGTTTCGTGCCCGGCACATGTAATATGCCTTTTTGCCATTTTCATTTTAAATCATGTGAAAATCGAACCTAGTTAAACCAGCAGCATAGGGCCTACTATTTATTGCATATTGTTAAAGTAAATATTTTCATTAATTAACCAAGATTACGCGTTTAGGGGGTATGAAGTGATGTGACAAAAGCCCCGTAGGAAAAACTGTAAACCAGGTTTAAAAAATGTAAATCAGGTTTAAAAATGAGTATTGATTTGTTGACCCTTTTCGAGGTTGGATCCGGCTGTGGTTATACATTTTACATTCTACATTTTATATACCCTCGAAATGGGGTTATGGGGATGAATGGACGTTTAACAAATTATCAACGGCACATTTTATGATTAATTTTAAATGTTGTCACTTTAGTTTCTTATCATTTTAGAATATGAATAATTGGTTCTTTAAATTAGTTCTTAGTCCTTTAAAATTGTAATGGGTTCTTATATTAGTATTGTGTTATCTAGCTCTTTTAAGTGAATGTTGTAAGGCGCATTGAGATTTTTAATGATATGCGCCATAGAAAAATAAATTATTATTATTATTACATTTTAAACTTTGACACAATGAAATATTGGTTGTATATTTTCAATTGTACATTGTTTATAATGATTGCAGTAAGTTTACTGTAACCACTTTTGTCACCCATCCCATATCTAATCGGTCTATAATGGGCAAGAAAGTTGTAATACATTTTGCAAGTCATTGTAGGTCAGTACGTCTATAAATAGCCGCACACGCCTCGTCGCATTGTAAACATCACTGAAACATGGCGGCGAACTTCACGGAGTTTTGTGGCTCCGAATTCTGGGTAAGATTTCTCAAATCTTCGAGCTTGTAACATTACAACTGTTGCACAGAATATAAAATAATCTACTTTGAATATGTTCGTTAGATGGGAGTTCTCAGTTGATGAGGAATAATGGGTAAAATCAGTTAGCTAATGTGCCTGAATTCATTGTAGTATTTTAGGTCAAGTTGTGATATAACACAGTGCGACGATTACGGTAACGTAAAATTACACTGACAGCATGGCCTTTGTGCAATGCCGAGTACGTGTTTTTTTATGGGTGTGTGTGGGAGGATTAAATAAGGCTCATGGTCTAGCGGTTGTGTTATCTAAACGTTTCACCGACGTGCGTTGTATTTTTTTGCTGACGGCAGCACTGTGGTCTCCACACGTGTTTTTTTCAAACGGTGTTCAGGGATTCAAACCTTGGTGCACAGCTAGAAAAATATCTCCGTTTAAACTAGCAATTTGAATATGTAGCCATCTCATTTAGATAAAAATATATTCTTGTTTTAGTGACATGATATTTTTCGTTTTTGAAGATGTCATTTTTAGAAATGAGTCAAAAGATGCCACACTCAATTTTTAAACTATATGTTATCACAAGCACCTGAGATTTACCACACAACAGGTTTTAGGAGGTGGGCATGAACACACTGCCAGCTTAAATTTTGATTTTAGGATTTGCTCAAGTAGAGAAATACAATGTATGTAGGCCCTATGTGAAATATACATGTGAAATACAAAAGTGGTCGGGAAATATGAGAAAGTGCATTTTGATACAATGTGGCCTAATTGCTAGGAGAAGATACAGATTTTCTAACAATGGCTTATTGGGGAAAGGGGAGTTGACTCCCCCTCTCCCCCCCCCCCCCAAAAAAAAAAAAAAAAATGGCATGTGTTTTCTCTTGTCACCCCTCACCAACATAAGGAAAAAATTATACCAAATTGCAAAAAGAAAGAGAAAAGACAATAATACTATACTATACTGGATCTAGGAAATAATGATCAGTGCAATGGTCTGATGGTAGGATAGGTGCCATTGATCTTTAATAGGGAAATGAGTCGTGTTACTGCTCACACAACAACTAGATATCTGCTCAAGAACCTGGCCCAGATGTTGCAGAGATCAAATCTCAGTTCTCTTTTACTTCAGTGCTGTTTTATCTATTCTCTCCCAGATGCAGATGACTTCTTACACTTCTCTTTTATGCCTTTCGGGGGTAATTGAAATGTGGAGCATGTGGTACACGTAGTACCAGCTGATCTTAATCATGTGTCAGTGCAGTCTCTTGGATATTGGACATCAGCTGCTGATATTGGCTACACCTTTTGAATTGGCTGCTTTCATTTAAAGATGATATTATCTCTTTCTATACTTTGGTAATGTAAAAATGATTAAAGTGCCAAACTAAATATGAGGTCTAAAGAAGCTCTACCTAGAGATATTAGATAATTCCCATATTCTGGAGTGCTGAATAGTATTAATGAACAGGGATAGAAATTGATTTCATGATTGACATAATTTGAAATATATTTGATTTATTTCAGAACCTCAATATAACGTGGGACAATGAGGTTGGACCAGACTTTACCCCTTGTTTCCAGAACACTGTATTGGTATGGGTACCATGTGGTCTGCTTTGGCTGGCCCTCCCCTTCTATAGCACTTTCCTTAAGAGAAGGAAGGGACACATTAACAGCAATGCCCTCAATATAACAAGAACAGTAAGTACAGGCATAGGAATTTTTGAACACTTGAAAAGGGATGAGATGTATTGTTATGAGATCTTTTGGAAGTTCATTGAGGGTGGAATTAGCTTGGGTGTAAAATTTTTTTTTTTTTTTTTTTTTTTTTGGACATGCACATCCATATAAGAATCTTTAAAATAACTGCTAGCTTTGTATCATCATTGTAAGCTCTAACATCAGTATGGACACTTGTTATTTTACATTTTATATGCTTAAGAAGTTTTTAAAAATTATTAGAAGAGTTTGTGTACTGTGTAAAAACCTGTCATTTAGGTAACTTAGTTTGATTTCTTTTTCTAAGCATCAAACTTGTGTTTTCTAGATCATTACCCTACTCCTTGTCTGTGATGTTCTATTAGATGTGTTCAAGACAGCTAGCGAGTATGAGACGGAAAGTCCACCCCCGCCTCTGGTTCATTTTGTCTCCCCTGGAATACTAGCTGTCACATTGGTAAGCTGGCCTCTCAATCATTTTATCTTGTAAAATTTTTGTACAGTATATATACAGTACATATAGACTCGCCCTTCAAGAAATCGACGCCTTCAAGAAATCGACGAAAACCGGAAGTGCGTGTTTTTTGCACTTTTTTCCTGTCATGCCCATCGTAAACACTGTGTTGTCAAGTAAAACGAAGCGTCTGATACAAAGTATCAAACGCGGCATTCACACGCTTGCTTGCGATGCGTTNTTATTATTGTTTTAACAATTAAAATTCATTTTCATCATTAGTCTCATTATCATTTACGTAGATGTAGTTCTTTGTTAAATTATTATTATGATGATGATGAATTGTATTCGTTTCCCCTTTTGTCTAATAGAAAAATATTTTTTCAATTGATTTCAGCGTAAAAGATGACAGGAGCAAGGACTCTATAGCACAGCCTCTCTACTTGTTGATAGGGGAGATATTTGAGCTGAGTGGGGTGTTCAAGTGGTTGAGGAAAAGTTTAATGGTGTTTGTGCAGGCCACATCTGGAAGGACAATTAACAGGTTGGTTGTAGGTAATAATACCTGGGAGGTCACTTCAGAAAAGACATGAAACAGGTTGGTTATAAAGTATATTTTGAAAACCATATCAGTTAACAAGACAGTACAGCTCACATTCTCAGTGGTTCAGTAGGTAATCACAGGTAACATCAGACAGATCATTTAACAGTTTTGTGAAGGTCAACATCTTTATGTAGGTGTACATGTAGGTGACAATACATCTCTTCTTGAGGTTTGTGATCAGGTAGGTGCAGCTCACATCTGTCAGGTCACATCTCTCAATTGTGACACAGGTGTAGGTTACATGTAGTTAGTCAATTGCCTGGTACGTGTAGGTCATCTTATTATCATCAATGAAATGAATACATTTAGGTGATCATTGCTAATTTTTGTGGGTTAGATTCCAGATAGTGTATTTATGTTCATTTATATTTATTAGAGATTAAAGAACTTATGTATTTTTATTTAGCTGCAGTGATGTGATTCTTGGCTGGGATTCATGTTTAATTTAATGTATTTATTTCGTACTTTAGACAGTTACGAGAAACAGTGGACTGGATCTTCTCTGAGCCTATGATCATTTACTACATTCAACTGTTTTGCAACTCGTTTTGGCCAGGAGGACACCTGGCGCCTCCTACACCTCCCAGGAGTGACGAGGAGAAAATGAGAACCAGAATGGCAGCAAAAAATAAGTTTTTGGACAGCATACCTGGTGAGACTTTGGTTATATGCATTTTCAATTCAGTGTAAATGTTATCGTGTTTTGGTCACATATTTCTGAAAAATTAAATTCTGATGCATGGTTAATGGGGTTTCAAATTAAATAAATGTTTTTATTATTATTTTCTTTAAATAAGAGTTCATCATAAATTTGAAGATATCAGTATTGTTATTTGCCTTGTTTTAGATGCTATGAAGAACTTATTTGGTGAGAAAAACTCAAGAAAGGGTGCCATCAAAATATTTGAAGTTTTTCAAGATGGCAGACTGAACAAACATCTATTTTATGTAAGAAGTTTTTATTCATTATCAAATAGCATTTTTCCTAAAATATATATTTTACATACATTTAAGATAATTTTGTGAAAACCCTTTGTGAAGAAAGGAGTATTTTCTGTTTTTAAAAATCAGACAATGAAAGCAGTTTGTATATTAAGTCTAGCACTCACAATATCCCTATAAAAGTTCCATACATAACAGAGTTGGGCTTTTTTCCAGGTGCTTCTTGAATTGGTGCTATTGGAAGTTCTCCCTGAGGTGAAGAGCAAAATGGAGGAGCTAACAGCTGAAAGACAGGTGCCCTTTGCAGTTAGCAGCCTCAATGCTCCACCCCCAAGTCGCTCACAGAGTCCAGAGACTGTCCAGTTTGATGACCAGGACGCTGATTCCACTGACCAGGCAACAAGGGGACAAAAACAACCACTCCCACAAGTGGAGGTCATGTTCCATTTGTAGCCTATGTGATGGCCAGTGAAGACTCTGGGACACAATTTATGCCAATTTTGATAAGGCATTCCAAAAAAGAGTTATGAAAGAAACTCTTAAAAATCATTCCCTACCAAAGAAAATTACGTGGAAGTGAATTCATGATCATGGTACTATAAGTTTGATGTTAAGTGATAATCATCAATGTTGATTATTCAGAGAACTTTCCACAAAAAAATTATGATCTCTCTAGGAATCTAAGTATCTGTTTAAAGCCAGAACACCTAACCTTCAACTGGCATCGACATTTGTAACATTATAGCAGCAAGACGGTACAATGTATGCCCGACTGTGATAGATAAGGCTGTACACTTTAAAGTGCAATATAAAATATTTGACAGAATTTAATTTCAGAAATATATCATATAAAATCCTAAATAAAGTGACTAAATAAATTGAATAAAAAATCAACTTTGTGTTGTTTATTAATTGTTAGTGCCAATATCAGTACTTGTATGTGCTATCACGGAAATTGAAAAATGCATAGCTAAATTTATGGAAAACGTAATCGAAGCTGACTTATTGTGTTTGGTGGAAAAAATATCAATCTATCTTTAGCATCCCAGCAATGCCGTACGAAGGCGATATTCCGAAATTTCTGGAAATTATTCAAACATTTTCCTAAAAATGTATCATTGGTCCGAAGCTTCGGCACTCCGAATTTTCTTCGCTCCGAACTCCGCAGTTCTATTAATCTGATGGTAAAAAGGCCGGTAGAAAGACCAATACCCCTAACTGTTTTTACTCTTTTTCATTATATCAAATGTTTTTTTCTGCCTCAAAAGCTTATGTGGTTCATATGCATGAAGGCCGGAGGTTTTGGCCAGCACTACCTACTCTTTTCAATCCCGCTCAATGTGATCTTACGGAATCCACCCCACCCTACCCACACACTCACAGTATATGCTCAAAATTTGCCATACGCAACCTTGCGCACCTGGCTGTTTATTGATTTTGAAAAAAATTTGAAGATGAAATATCGCCGGTTGCTGTATGTTGCTTTTCATTCTTGGTAAAGCAAAATCACCAAAGAGGCCTAGGCTAACATGCAATGGAATTTACATTAAAAAAATAGAGGTTCAAACGCGGCAATACACGAGAGGGAGGGAGGGAGAATCTAGGCCCTATGACTATTTGATTTAATAAATTTTAGATGCAATATTGGAGTAAAAATAGTCATCTAGGCCTACTGTTTTTTTATTGAATAAAAATTTTGAATAGCGGACCTTTTAAGTAAAAGTCTTGTTTTACTGGTTGTTCAGATCAAAGTACTTTCGAAGTAAAAAGAATACGCACCCCTTCCTCATCGCTTTATTTTTATTTTATTTATTAACAATATTGCCTCGATCTTTTGCCTCATTTATCCAGAAGTTTGTTTGCTGACACAAAACAGACTAGGATCCATTGATATTATGAACTGTCTCTAGTAATTTGTGAAGGTTTAACTTTTCCTTTTTTAACCGGGTTGTTTAATTTTACAGACCAGTTTCGTGCCCGGCACATGTAATATGCCTTTTTGCCGTTTTCATTTTAAATCATGTGAAAATCGATAAAATAGTTACGAACCTAGTTAAACCAGCAGCATAGGGCTTACTATTTATTTCATACTTGTTAAAATAAATATTTTCATTAATTAACCAAGATTACGCGTTTAGGGGGTATGAAGTGATGTGACAAAAGCTCCGTAGGAAAAACTGTAAACCAGGTTTAAAAATTGTAAATCCGGTTTAAAAATGAGTATTGATTTGTTGACCCTTTTCGAGGTTGGATCCGGCTGTGGTTATATATTTTACATTCTACATTTTATATACCCTCGAAATGGGGTTATGGGGATGAATGGACGTTTAACAAATTATCAACGGCAGATTTTAAACTTTGACACAATGAAATATTGGTCAAATTGCAACAGCTAGGCCATTGCTTTTTAGCGATTGTATATTTTGAATTGTACATTGTTTATAATGATTGCAGTAAGTTTACTGTAACCACTTTTGTCACCCATCCCATATCTAATCGGTCTAATGGGCAAGAAAGTTGTATTACATTTTGCAAGTCATTGTAGGTCAGTACGTCTATAAATAGCCGCACACGCCTCGTCGCATTGTAAACATCACTGAAACATGGCGGCGAACTTCACGGAGTTTTGTGGCTCCGAATTCTGGGTAAGATTTCTCAAATCTTCGAGCTTGTAACATTACAACTGTCGCACAGATTATAAAATAATCTACTTTGAATATATTCGTTAGATGGTAGTTCTCAGTTGATGGGGAATAATGGGTAAAATCAGTTAGCTAATGTGCCTGAATTCATTGTAGTATTTTAGGTCAAGTTGTGATATAACACAGTGCGACGATTACGGTAACGTAAAATTACACTGACAGCATGGCCTTTGTCAGGGGCGGATTTAGGGCGTCTTCTGGGTCTTCTGGAAGACGGTCAGATTTTCAAGTTTACATTGACGGGTATCTAACTTTTTCTGTCGGAAGACGGTCAAAAATGGAGGATTGTTCAACGAAGATAAATTGGAAGACTGTCAGAAAACAACTCTGGATCCGCTCCTGTTTGTGCAATGCCGAGTACGTGTTTTTTTATGGGGGTGTGTGGGAGGATTAAATAAGGCTTATTTTACCGAATCATGGTCTAGCGGTTGTGTTATCTAAACGTTTCACCGACGTGCGTTGTATTTTTTTGCTGACGGCAGCACTGTGGTCTCCACACGTGCTTTTTTCAAACGGTGTTCAGGGATTCAAACCTTGGTGCACAGCTAGAAAAATATCTCCGTTTAAACAAGCAATTGGAATATGTAGCCATCTCATTTAGATAAAAATATATTCTTGTTTTAGTGACATGATATTTTTCGTTTTTGAAGATGTCATTTTTAGAAATGAGTCAAAAGATGCCACACTCAATTTTTAAACTATACTGTATTATCACAAGCACCTGAGATTTACCACACAACAGGTTTAGGAGGTGGGCATGAACACACTGCCAGCTTAAATTTTGATTTTAGGATTTGCTCAAGTAGAGAAATATGTAGGCCCTATGTGAAATATACAGCTGTACATGTGAAATACGAAAGTGGTCGGGAAATATGAGAAAGTGCATTTTGATACAATGTGGCCTAATTGCTAGGAGAAGATACAGATTTTCTAACAATGGCTTATTGGGAAAGGGGAGTTGACTCCTCTCCCCCCCCCCCCCCACCCACCAAAAAAAAAAAAAAAAAAAAAATTGATAT